AAAAAGTGTTAAAACCCCTGGATGGTGATGATTGGTCCATCCTATTTGGAGGGCCATTTTAAAAGCACCAACTAAATGTTAACATCATAGGCTCTTTGACTTGGCAATTCTGCATCTAGGAATGTGTCTTAGCATGTATTTGCACATGAACATGAAGATGTAAATGCACATTGCAGTAACAAAAGAAAGCAGCCAAACACCTGTTGGTAGAGGCTGGGTAAGTAAATTCTGGTACATCTATAGAGTAGACAATGCAACAGTGAAAAGAATGAAACAATATTACAATGTTACTTGGTATGGATAACAGAAATTTTCCTTCCCTCCCTCCCTCCTTCCTTCCTTCCTTTCTTCCTTCTTTCCTTTCTTCCTTCCTTCTTTCCTTCCTTCCTTCCTTCTTTCCTTCCCTCCCTCTCTCCCTCTCTCCCTCTTTCCTTCCTTCCTTTCTTCCCTACTTCCTTCCCTTCCTTCCCTTCCTTTCTTTCTCTCTTTCTTTCAGAGTCTTGCTTGGTCACCCAGGCTGGAGTGCAGTGGCACAATCTCGACTCACTGCAACCTCTGCCTCCTGGGTTAAGGCGATTCTCGTGCCTCAGACTCCTGAGTAACTGGGACTACAGGTGCGCACCACCACACTCAGCTAATTTTTGTATTTTTTAGTAGAGATGGGTTTTTACTATATTGATCAGGCTGGTCTCAAACTCCTGACCTCGCGATCTGGCTGCCTTGGCCTCTCAAAGTGCTGGGATACAGGTGTGAGCCACCACGCCCTGCTGATAAGAGAAATTTTCTAGATGTATTGTTTTTTGTTTTTTGAGACGGAGTTTCGCTCTTGTTACCCAGGCTGGAGTGCAATGGCGCGATCTCTGCTCACTGCAACCTCCGCCTCCTGGGTTCAGGCAATTCTCCTGCCTCAGCCTCCTGAGTAGCTGGGATTACAGGCACGCGCCACCATGCCCAGCTAATTTTTTTGTATTTTTCTAGTAGAGACGGGGTTTCACTATGTTGACCAGGATGGTCTCGATCTCTTGACCTCGTGATCCACCCACCTCAGCCTCCCAAAGTGCTGGGATTACAGGCGTGAGCCACCGCGCCCGGCCTAGATGTATTGTTAAAATATAAAAAGCAAAATCCAGAGGATACCAGATACTATCATATACAAATGTGTGTAGAGACTTACAAACATACATTATATCTGTTGCTTGCGTATGCATAGATTGTTTCTGGGAAGATATACAAGAAATCCAACAGTGGTTGTCTCTGGAAAGGTGATTTGAGAATTTGAAATGAAGAAATTTAAGCTGTATTTCCTTTTATGATGTTTTAATTTGCACCATATTTAAGAAGGACTTATTTTTACAAAACTGTTAAGACGAAAAGAAAGGAAGTGGTTGGCCAGGTGCATTGGCTCACACCTGTAATTCCAGAACTGTGGGAAGCTGAGGCAGGTGGATCATTTAAGAGCAGGAGTTCAAGATCAGCCTTGCCAACATGGTGAAAACCCATCTCTACTAAAAATACAAAAATTAGCTGCGCATGGTGGGGTGCCCCTGTAATTTCAGCTACTCAGGAGGCTGAGATGGGAGAATCACTTGAACCCAGAAGGTGGAGGTTGCAGTGAGCCAAGATCACACCACTGCATTCCAATCTGGATGAGAGAGCAAAACTCCATCTCAAAAAAAAAAGAACCGGTTATAAGCAGTCATTTTAAAGGAAAATATTAGTAATACTTTTCTAGAAAATGTGAGATTTTACTTAGATTGTAAAAATTCCGCTTCTATTACATCTTTTCTTTTTCAGAATTATTGTGTATAAACTTATCCTTCAAGCCTAGTCAATATGGCAAAACCTTATCTCTACTAAAAATACGAAAATTAGCCAGGCATGGTTGCGGGTGCCTGTAGTCCCAGCAAACGTGATCCAAACCTACGCAAGATGGTTGCCGAATTGATGGTGTTCTCAAAACACACTGAGATCCATGGATGACAGTTGCTGCTACAGAATAATTAATTAGCGCCTAAGACTCAATTTAGGATAATGAATAATAGTTATTGGGAAAACGATTTATGTTTTTCTTTTCCTGATTTTTCTTTTTTTCTTGCCTTTTTTTTTTTTTTTTTAAACGTGGTCTCATGCTTTTGCCCAGGCTGGAGTGCAGTGGTGCAATCATGGCTCACTGCCACCTAGACCTCCTAGGCTCAAGCGATCCTCCCACTTCAGCCTTCTCAGTAGTTGGGACTACAAGTGTATGCCACCACACCCTGCTAATTGTTTCGTTTTTGGTAAAGGCAGGGGCTTATTACTTTGCCCAGGCTAGTCTTGAACTCCTAGCACCCTCCCTCTGGGCCCAGGGACTATCACAGAAGAGGTGGGTGCATGAGATTGTAAGGGCTGGTTTTAGAGGGACAGAATTAGTTCAGACCCTCCAAATCAAGGATGGGTACACAGATGTCTAAACAGCTAGTAAAATAAGGGACTTTGCCACCTGAATTTTTACATGTGTGGCACCTTTTCATTCATCTCAACCAGAATTTTCTGCTTCACCTAGAAAATTTTTACTGAGAGGATATAAAGTTACCTGTGACAAAATCTCCTGGGGATAATACTCCTAGTTATGAGATTTATGAGGATAGATATGAATTTAAAATTTTATTTTCAGCTGGGTGCAATGGCTCACTGAGGTGGGTGAATCACCTGAGGTGAGGAGTTCGAGACCAGTCTGATCAATATGGTGAAACCTCATCTCTACAAAAATTATAAAAATTAGCTGGGCATGGTGAAGTGCACCTGTAGTCCCAACCTGAGAGGTGGAGGTTGCAGTGAGAGGAAATTGCACCACTGCACTCCAGCCTGGGCGACAGAGTGAGACTCATCTGAAAAAAAAATTTTAGCCACCTTAGGACAAATGACTGAAAGACCACAAAAAGCATTGTAACACAACAAAAGTCTCTAAATTCCTTAGCCTCAAAGGTTTTTAACAATGCTTACAAATTGAATAGCTCATTGCTATGAGTCTGTAACAAAAACCAAGATTACAGTAGCTCAATGCATAGAAGTTAAAGATTGATAAAGTCAATTTTATAACCTCACTTTTGGCTTTTTGTTTTTGTTGGGTTTTATATGACTTTAAAATTGTGAAGAGGTAATGAATGCCTGTCCACATCCTTTCCTATCTGGCTAAAACATATAATTGGCTCTAAGTCTTTTGGCTCTAAGTCCATTAGTCACAGAGCAGGGCATCCCACAGGACAGAATGGACTTGGGGCAGGCAGCTGTGCCACCCCAGCAACACTATGGGAAAAAATAAAAGTTTGGTGGCCATTAATGTTGCCTCTGACAAATCTTGGCCAGAAGGGGGAGAATGTAAACCAAAAACAAACCTCTAAGCCCCCAACCATCTGAATGGACACCTCGTCTCAGCAAAGACATTCCAAAGTTAACCTGAAAAACTGGTTCAGGCCATGATGGGAAGTGGGAGCTGGACGTACTTCATTATTCCCTCATCCCTTTTGTAATTACTGACAGAACAGACTCTTTAAGTCTGATAAGAAATATTTACAACCCATTCTTTCTGAAGCCTGCTACCTGGAGGCTTCACCTGCATGATAAAATTTTGGTCTCCACAACCCCTTATCTTAAGCCAGACATTCCTTTCTATTGATTCTCAGTCTTCAGATGATAACTCTTTCCATCAATTGCCAAGTGGAAAATCTTTGAATGTACTTATGACCTGGAAGCCTCTGCTTCCAGTTGTCCTGCCTTTCTGGACCAAACCAATGTACATCTTACATGTGTCAGCTGATGCTTTATGTCTCTCTAAAATGTATAAAACCAATCTGTGGCCCGACCACCTTGGGTACATGGTCTCAGGATCTCCTGAAGGCTGTGTCATAAGCCATTGGCCACTCATATTTGGCTCAGAATTAACCTCTTCAAATATTGTACAGGATTTGACTCTCTTTTCATCAACAGTTTGAAAATTTTCATAATAAAAAAATTACAAAAACTTTTATTGAAAATGCATCTCTTACTGAGATGAATGGGAATTTCTCAACTAGTTCACGTATCCAGAGAATATTAATTCTTGCTAGACTTAATGCTAGGTTTAGCACAATTGCATGCCAATTTTTTAAAAAATGTAAGCACTGAGAAAACTATATCATATCGACATTAATTAAGTATATGGGGAAGGAAGCATTTTGCCATAGCCTTGACCTTCAATTCTTTGAACCCCTTCTGAGTTATGTCTCCCACCACACAAATATGTACCCTCTAAAATAATTTGTAATGGTTTATCAGCTGACAATTTGATTTGGTCTTCCTTTAATTTGGTTGTGTGCAAAGAATAAGAAACCATCTGACTTAAAAATGATTTTTTAAACCACATCAATAGAATCATTCCTCTTTTAACACCAATCAGCATTTCAAAAATCTCTTTATTTAATGCCTCAGAAGTTATTTCACCCCTGGCAATGCACCATAGGAAGGTTCAGGTCGGTGAGAGGCTCCCATTCTTCAGGAAGTGGAGAAGAGGCTGTGAGAGAAGAACTAGGAAAGGAGAGCCTGGCCTCAGAAAGGAAGCTGAGACCCTGGGAAGTGATTCCCTTACACTTATCCCATGTGTTTGAGCCACAGTGTACCCATGTGTCCCTCAAAGACAGATAACCCAGTTTGAAGAATGCCACTTTCAAGGATCCTTTCTGGCCAGGTGTGGTGGCTCTTACCTGTTAATTCCAGTACTTACCTGTGTAGAGGCTGAGGTGGGAGGATCACTTGAGCCCAGAAGTTAAAGACCAGCCTGGGCAACATAGTGAGAGCCCATCTCTATGAAAAACAAAAAAGAATCCTTCCAGGATGTATAGGGCAAGATTATAAGGCCAAAGACTGAGTCAGCTTCCTTCCCTCCTGTGTGTCTGCAGAAACCCTACATTTTAATGTGATACATTCCAGGATACTGCATCCCTCAAAAAGGCATGGTATTTATCTTTTTTTTTTTTTTTTTTTCAGAAGGAGAAAACAGGAGCTTTACTCAAAATCACAAAGACCATATTTTTCATTGAGAATCGGTGTGGGACTAGGAAAACCGACAATGGGCCAGTTGCCCCTGGCAGCCCTGAAGAAATCAGGTAAATTCTGCTCCAGAGATGGCAGAGCTGGTGGTGCCATTCTTCAGGACAACACCGCCTCTTTCTGCCATACCTCACTTGGCCAGGGCGAAGTTTGTAGACTGTAGCCGCTCAGTCTCCTGGCAGATGCTCTGCTCCACTGTGTCACACTCGGCTAGGAATGCCTGAACTTTTTTACCAAGCCTTTCCTTTTCAATCTACTGTCTTTGAAATTTTCTGGCCGGGTCAGTGTGTCAGTCTCCTCTAAGATCTTCATAAATTGCTCTATTGTGGCTTTTACTTTCCTATCAAGTTTGCAGAGAGCTTCAGCTTGCAAATCCTTGGGCAGAAAACCCTGCTGAATTCCAGTAAGCTCTTTATTCAACTCTTCCAGCTGGTCAGCTATCTTCTCCACAGACTTCTCCCAATGTTTCAACTTCTTTAGTTCAGCTTCTTCCTCTGGACTGTTCTTTTTCCCAATTAACATGACCTGGCAACCATCTTGTATTCCAAGTGTTGACAATGGTGACTCCATTTCCTTCAGAGATGTTCGCTTAAATATGAGTTTCTGAAAAGACAGTGGAACCTCTGTGGCCTCTTCAACAACCTGGGCCGGGTCTTGGACAAGTGGTTCACTGCTGCCCTGCTGCAGAGTAACATGAAGGTCGTGCGTCTCATTACTGTGGGTGACAGTCACGGTGAGCCCAGCTTTCGCCATTTCCTCCCTGGTCACCTCCTCGCTCTGGGTCACCTCCTCATCCCTGGTGACCTCCTGGCTCCAGCTCATCTCTTCGCCCAGGGTCGCCTCCTCACTCTGGGTCGCCTCGCTACTGGTCGCCTCCTCACTCAGGGTCAGCTCCTTGCTCTGGGCCGAGTGGTGCCGGGTTTTCTTCTTCACCCGTGGCCTGCAAGCTCCAACGGTGGTGCCCCTGGTCGGCCGGTCAGGCCCACTGGCTGCACCCCGGACAGATGGACGCTGAGAGGGAGGTGGGCTGTGCTGGGTCGGGGGCTCCGACTGGTGTGACTCCCGGCCTGGCTGAGGGGCACTGCAGCCGGAAGCCCAGCTCAAGGCATGGTACTTATCTTTAGAAACAATGCTGTAACTGTAGGTTCTGCTGCTGGCCAAGGACTTGCTGGACAATATTTGCCAAAAGCACATGTGTGGAGCTATGATCCTTCAAAATCCCCTGTTCTTGCTCTGTAATTCGATTCCAGGGCTTAGGAAATGAGGGGACATATATGGGGCTGGCCCTTGGACCAGTTCCAGCCCAGCCATAGCAGACCATTGTGATCCAGCCAGGGAGGGACAGTGCCAAGCCTCATGCCCGTGGGGCGAGACTGAGCTGGTCAGAGGGCCAATGTGCTGACCCCTCTGTCATCGCATCCCCAGGGGCAAGTCAAGTCTGGATAAAACCTGAAGTTGGGCAGCCTCTGGCGACAGGAAGCCTGCAGAAGAGGTGGGCACTGTGCCCTGGAGTGCTCTAAGCAGGGTGCCCTGGTCCCCTGGGGTCTTTGGAGCAGCTGTCTAGCCCAATGATCATGAGGAGTTTGGGTACCTGTGAGCTGCCTTCAGAGCCTGGCAGGGTTCAGTGGGGTTCCGGGATCTGCAGCACCAGGAAGTGTCTGGCATATAGGAAGGGCTCAACGACTAATGTTGTCTGGCTGAATACACGAGTGAATGGCTGAATGAGTGAATACAAGGCTTGCCTTGCTGACGGCTGGAGCAATTTTTTTTTTTTAATCAAGGATGGCTTTTATTGATGTACCCATGATGAGCCACCCAAAATTTGGAAGGGATGATGATGTTATTACAGTAATCATCACCAAAGCAAATTAAAATACAAAGGTTATCTGCAGCAACTTTGCAGTGACATGATGCCTTCATAAATTAAGGAAACTGGCCCCCCGGCACGGCTGCTCACTTCATGGTCTTCACAAAATCTTCCCCCTTCTTGATGGAGGCCTTCAGCTTGGGGGCATACTCTGCAATCATCTTCTCCTCAAAAGAGGACACCTTGCCGATGCCCAGGTTCTTCTCAATGTCCCTTTTCCCCAGCAGCAGCAGTGTGGAGAAGTAGGTACATTCCGTTTCCTGTGACTTCATGAAGGAACATTTCACAACACCATCCTTTTTATTCATTGTATCCACAAGGAAGAAGACGAAGCGGGTGCTGGCATATGCCATGGAGAGGGTGGCGGAGCCTGCTGCTGGAGCAGTTTTCACTGTGACGGACTCCCCCAGACTCTGGATGTCCCGCCTTCTCACCTGCGACACTGATGCGATCATGCCTTTGGATCTACCCTTTTGGCTCAACTGACACCTTTCACTGTGTCTGCTATAGACTGACCTTCAGGCTTTGCACCATATTCCAGGTAGCTGTGTGCTTTCATGATGCGTCTGGCTCCTGCAGCTTTGCTGACACAGGTATCTTGAGCTTGGTAGTGACCCTGGCAGGCCTCCCTTCCCAGCACAGAGCCCATTCCTGGCAACAGAATGTGCAGTGTGGCCCGTGGAGATGGGCTTCCCTGGTCAGCAGCCTTTAATCAGGTTCCCAAGCCTCTGGGCAACTGTTCGTTCGCAGGGGCTCACCTCTCCTTGTCCTGCAGCTTCTGGAACATAGCACTGACCCCAGGCCATGCTCATTCATCCATTAATTTTTTCCACTTAATACAAATTTAGGAGCTGAGATCTGACAGACACCGAGCTGTGTGTGGGTTTTGTGTTGCTGTGTAGCTGCACAAACTGAGCTGCTCGAAACAACACAGATGTCTCGTCTCACAGCCTCTGTGGGTCCGAAGTCTGGGAACAGTATACGTGAGTTCTTGCTTAAGATCTCACCAGGCTGTGATCCAAGATGTTGGCCGGGACTACAGGCCATCGGAGGCATGACTGGGGAAGATTTCCAAGCTCCCTCGGGTTGTTGAAAGACTTTGTCTTCTTGAGGAGTCCTACTTCCTCAGGAAGGAGGTTTTCCTGCTGGCTGTTGCTCGGCTGCTGCTCTTGGCTCCTGCAGCCCTCTGGCAGTACCTTGCCACTAGCCCTTCCATGTGCCCCTCACAGTATGGCAGCTTGTTGCTGCTTTTTCTTTTGTTTTATTTTCTATGCTTAGAGACAGGGTCTCACTCTGCTGCCCAAGCTGGAGTACAGTGGCACAATCATGATTCACTGTGGCCTCGAATCCCTGGGCTTAAGCAGTCCCCCTGCTGCAGCCTCCTGAGTAGCTGAGACTACAGGTACGTGCCACCATGCCATGCTACTTTGCTTCTTTTCCTCTTTTTTTTTTTTGAGACTGAGTCTCACTCCATTACCCAGGCTGGTGTGCAGTGGTGCCATCTCAGCTCACTGCAACCTCTGCCTCCCAGGTTCAAGCGATTCTCATGCCTCAGCCTCTCAAGTAGGTGGGATTACAGGCGCCCACCACCACACCTAGCTAATTTTTGTACTGGGTTTCACCATGTTGGCCAAGGTGGTCTCGAACTCCTGACCTCAAGTGATCCATCTGCCTCGGCTTCCCAAAGTGCTGGGATTACAGGCATGAGCCACTGCTCCCAGTCTACTTTGCTTCTAAACCAGTGGAAAGAGCATCTAGCATGTGCTAGCAAGTGAAAAACATTATATATTTATTTGGAGTTACACACATCCACACACACACCCTGTACATATAAATTCACAGGAATGACATCCCTTCATCTTTGCCATACTGTATTGGAAGGAAGTCTAAAATCCCACTCATGCCCATGTGGAAAGGACTATACAGGGCACAAACATGAGTGCCACCCAGGCTCTGTTGGCTACAAAGTCTAAGTGCAGAAAGTCTTGAATACCAAAATAAAGAGTTTGGGTATTTTACTATAGTCAGTGAAGCTGCTTTTGAGCAATGGAGGAGCAAAATGGAGGACAGACTAATGACAGTGTATTGGAAGAAGATGGAGCTGGGTGGAGAGCAAGGCATCCGGGTGAAAGAGGAAGAGGATCTAGCCAGTACTGGTGGTGTGGGAAGGAGGCATAGCTCTGGGGACACCACAGAAGTAGAATCAAATGCATTCACTGCAGAGAGGATGATTCTGACTTGAGGACCAAGTGTGTGTTTTGGGAAGAAGACCAAGATCATACTCTCGTCTACAAAGACAAGGGAACCCATTCAGGAGCAGGAAGGGAAGTCCTTTCAGGCATTCCTTTCTCTGTGTTTTCTAGTACTACCATTTTCGGAGAGGTCTTTAGAGGAAGTGGGTGGCAGCAGGCCAATGTGTCACCTGTCATACTGCAAGCCTCTTCTGGCTTGTGAGCCAGAGTGAGGGAAATCGACCTGGAATTGCTGAGCAAGAATTCGAAAGCGTGAGTGTGAAGTTGGGAGGCAGGTTTGGGGACAAAGAGGTTGATTTGCAGGCTAGACATTTAGATTATTTCATGGCGCCAGTGTCCCAGCCAATGCCTGCGCTCTTCCAGGAGCCAATTATTTTGAATATCGCCTTGGGAGCTAGGTACCTGTGGAGTTGGGTACTTCGAGGGAGCTGTCATGAGACCAGATTAAATGATGAAAGAAAAGAAAAGAAAAGAGAAAAAGAAAGAAAGAGAAAGAGAGGGGCAGGGAGGGAGGGAGGGAGGGAGAGAGAAGTACTAGGACTCTACCTTCCTGGGGATGACTGAGAAAGAGTAGGCAGTGAAGGGGGAGGAGTCAGGGGACACATTATGCAATTCAGGGGACAGCACCTCCCACAACAAAGAATTTTGCCTGGCTCAAAATGTCACTAGTGCCAAGGCTGAAAAACCCTGCTGAGACAGCAACCGTAGGACCAGGATTTTCTGGAATGAACACATTTTCAAGTATTCTTATCAGAGCCTATGTCTCATATTGGAACTTAGCTAATGGACCCTCAGCATTGCAGTACCCTGAGGGACATTGTCCCCTGTATCTCAGCCAGATGGGTGGAATCTGCCTTTTCCCTTATTTTGGAACCCATTTTCCATTGGCTGCTCTCCAGTCTCATTTTAACAAATCTTAGACTGATGCCCATGAGGATTTTTATACTTTGGTGACCTCCAACTAGCCGTGGCCAAGCCTGCTTTCTACACTCACACAAAACCCTCCACACATCTACAAACACACACACGTGCTATTTTGTACACACACACGCCCATTTGCACACACACTATCCTCTGTAACACATCATCTTGCTTGATTTTCCAAGCACGGCTCTGGTTGAAATGGCCTGGGCTTCCCATTGAACCCCACGGCCTGGTCCTCAGCTGGGTCTCAATGTTGTCTCTTCCCTGCCCCTTGCCTAAGCCCAGAGGGCTAATCACAGCTCCTCCAGCTCCACGCTCAGGAACCCTTGGTGCCTAGTGAGCTCTAAGGCTTGAAAATCATGTGCTGGCCCTGACCCCATGATGAGAATTAGAGCTGACAGCTTTCTGGAAAACAAACAAAATCTGTTCCTTCTCCCCTGTTCCGTTACATCTTCTCCCCATAGACTCTTCCCAGTGAATTTCTAAGTTTGTTAAAATCCACTGAGTGAATTCCATATTCTTCACAGCACTGATTTTTCTCCTCCCTTACTCAGACTTCCACTTTACTAATTTGGTGATAAGGCCAAAGGGACAAGTAGCAATGAAAAAACATTGAGTAAACTTTTAAAATGAGTAAATACAGCTCATAGCTCTTCCCTCTCATTAAACAACATAGCACCCTTCATTTCTCTTCGCTATAGTGGCCCTTTTAATTTAGCTAGAAGTGCTCCTCTGCCTTTTGGCTGTCAATGTTTTTTACTTCTTCTGGTGCTATTCTTTTCATTCTGCTTCCTGAGTTTTCCAGCACTGTCTGTCTTCTGAGAGGGCATTATAGGAAGGGGGACTTGGCAGCAGGTCAATGTGTCTCATGTCACATCCAAGCCTCCTCTGGCTCAAGAGCCAGGAGACCTACAGTTATTACTGAGTCAAACCGAGCAAACTGACAGAAAGTATGTGCAGTTTGGGGGGATATTTTAGATGTTCCATCCTCCCTGGAAAGTGTTTTAGACGATAAAACAACAGCAAAAATGGATTTTTCCAAGCCATTATT